TTAATAAGAGATGACTTGATTATAGATTTAAGAAGGACTGTCCATTTTTTTTCTTAGCGACTAAGTTTATTTAATTCCAAACATTTGATAATCAGGAGAATAGGACATTTCCTTACTGTTTTCACACATACAAGTTAAAGTGGCACAATGAGGCATAGTTCCTGCAATTTAAGCCTAATTCACTCTGTGCTAAATATGCAAATAAGGATCATTGGCCCAATTCCCAATCTTACTTTCTCTTTCTCTCTCTAGTTACTTTTCTTGCTGAATTTTTAATTCACTTTACCAGACCTACAAATTACTCCATGCATTAACTTATATTAAATCAGGAACTGTTATTGCATAAAATCCTGTGTCCACATTAAGTGCTTATTCAATAGATGGCAAGCATTATATCTTGCAGATATCATAAACCATACACACACACACACACACACACACACACACACACACACACACATACACATATTGTGTTTAAGGCTCACTTCCTGAAAGATTTTATCCACTTTTTAATTTTTTTTTTCAGTTGACATACACTATTTATTAGTCTCAGGTGTACGTTCTTATCCCCTTTTAATTATTTCTCTAGGTTTTTATTTATAAATTGCAGTGCTCTTAGACAAAAAAAAAGTGAAAGAAAATGTCTAGGCATTTATGTGAACAGTTAAGTAAACCAGGATTCTGACTCAAACTATCTACACTTATTTACTTGAGTGTATGTTTGTTGATACTTCTACTACAAAGGTGTAAATGTTGAAGAAAACAGGACTTGGAAGTACAAAATCATTGACAAGAGCCAGGACAAGTCATGAGCTTTTGTCTGTATGCTGTGTTGTACTCTTGAATTATTTTAAAGTCCAGAGTAGAGATTGTCTGATTGAATCTAACTTACCTATTATAGTAATAGAATAAGTAAGTTAGTCATAGATGAGAGGCCATGGGTATTTATCAAAACATTTTACTTTTGTAAGTTGACTTACTATTTTCACACATACAAGTTAAAGTGGCACAATGAGGCATAGTTCTTTTGTAGATAGGCATAAATGAGGCATAAATCTTTTATAGATTTCCCCCAAAACTAAAATCAGTAGGACATAAAAATACATCCTAGAGCGCATGAGCCCAGGCAAAGACCTTGGTAACTGATTTGCATGTGGATTAAGAAGTGCTAGTGATGTTTTGGTTTTCCTTGGAAACTCTTAGAGTAGGCTTCTGAAGCTAATTTGGATTGTAGATGAGCTGAGCTAAAGCAAACAGGGACACATTAGTCTTTTGTTCCATTGGCTCTTAATCATTGGCTTTTGTAACCCATCTGGGACTATTGTTATGTTCCTTTGGGTCCCTGGCCTTTCCTTTCAAAATGCACATAAGCCTACTGGCTTTTGTTTGTTTCCTAAAAAAAGTGAATATAATACTGTACAGATATGTAATGTTAGAGGTTGAGATTATTCCAGTACTGTTTTTTGGTTACTAGACTATGTCTTGGTGCCATCATTTGTACACCTACACATTTACATTTTCATTACTTTTGGAACCTCGTTGTTGTACAGGCAGAAATAAAAAAGGAGGTGAATTCTAGGCAACTTTGTTCCTCTTTAACAGTTCTTAAAAGAAAAGTTCAGTGTTTTACTATTTAAAGAGTACCCTGTAGGAATTGGTGATTGTCTGTGGATTCTAATAACCATAGCCCCAGGTGACTACTGCTAGTATGTTTCAGAAACAATATGTTATCTCTGTCTCCTGCCCACAACACACTTATTCTCTGGTTTAGTTATTTGTGTGTTATTAACCTATTTTAGGAGTTTGTAAGCTTTTTTGGTGTTACATGCAGAAAGGTATATCAATATTTACATTTTTCTGGGAAGAGGATCTATACCTATCACCATGGGCTAAATAAATAAAACATTAACATCAGTATCTCAAACCATTAGAAAATATGTTTTATGCTCCTTGATAGAATTTAAGCAACCAAAACAACAGGAATTGTATTTGTTACTGATGTATTTTCCTTAGCACTTGGCAATGGTCCCTTCTGTAAATACTTTTGCACAGGTGGATTTTAGAATTGCATGAAGCTTAGACTAATTTCTTGGGCCTGGTACCCTATAGTAGTAAGTTAGAAACTTTGGTTCCATGTTTACCTCCTTCAGGCAAAATAAGTTTGTTTTATGAAACAATGGCCACTTACTTACTTTATTTAGTCTCCTTCCGCACTCAAACTTTTATCAATTCTAAAGAAGGTAGGATATAATTGATGGATTGAAATTATCTACAAATAATTCCTGAGATAAAAGAAACTGAAAATATCCCTCCAAGTTATGTGCAAAAGTGGTTAGATACCTGAAGAAGCTAAGTCATCCAAAGTTCAGCTTTTTTACAAAGTTTCTTTCAGATGGTGATTTCCACGTTTAAAAAAGTTAGTGATTCAGAAAGGAAAAGTGTACAGAGTCTTTGTGAAGAAGATGTGACTCTTATCCCTAAAGAGTAATTTAAATGCGAAAAAAATAAATGCATATGATATATTCAACAACAATATCTCCCTGGTTGGAAAAGAGAAACTGATCTGGTAGCATTCCTATAGTGTTTGACTTCCCCAAGAATCAGGATCTGAATCAAATAGGAACAGGATAGAAGATCAAGACCACAATTATCACAAGGCCCTAACTAATTTCTTGGGCCTGGTATCCTACAGTAGTAAGTTAGGAACTTTGGTTCCATGTTTACCCCCTTCAGGCAAAATAAGTTTATTTTATGAAACAATGGCCACTTACTTACTTTATTTAGTCTCCTTCACCACTCAAACTTTTATCAATTCTAAAGAAGGTAGGATATAATTAATGGATTGAAATTATCTACAAATTCCTGAGATAAAAGAAACTGAAAATATACCTCCAAGTTATGTGCAAAAGTGGTTAGATACCTGAAGAAGCTAAATCATCCAAAGTTCAGTTTTTTTACAAAGTTTCTTTCAGATGGTGATTTCCACGTTAAAGAAAAGTTAGTAATCAGAAAGGAAAAGTATACTGAGTCTTTGTGAAGATGTGACTCTTGCCCCTAAAGAGTAATTTAAATGCAAAAAAAAAATAAATGCATATGATATATTCAACAACAATATCTCCCTGACTGGAAAAGAGAAACTGATCTGGTAGCATTCCTATAGTGTTTGACTTCCCCAAGAATCAGGATCTGAAGCAAATAGGAACAGGATA